ACAATTCTCATTTCGATCTCCCATTCTGAATTCCTCTATCCTATATTCATTTTCGTTGGCCGTTTCTAATCTAGTGTTGAAGTCTCAAACAGCGAATTTATAAAAAGGCTTCTCGTTGTGGGTTACTTCCCATAAATAGTTGTGAAACGCTTCCAGTTCGCTCTCATCAGCTGTACAAGTTGGTGAGTAGCAGTTGATGATACTGCCTTTCTTTTAACATGGAAGTTGGGGACGAGGAATGGCCAAGCGCTGTGATGGATTTCATATGAGGTGACTAGGTGGGAAATATGCGGGTGTACGACACATTTCATTTAGCAACGGAAATCTCTCGAAGAATGACAACGATTCCATCATTTTCTGTAGAAGGAATTTTATGTCAACGGTAGCTTTTAGAGGAGTGCAATGTTTGACGACTAAGGAGACTGTTTTGGAGTTATAGGTGCACAGTGAAACCAATCTACATGGCGTTTAGTGGGCGAGTTCGTTTTGCCAATTTCCAATGACGCCCTGTTGAATCCGAAATTCGATCGCCTCTCATTGGTTGTCTCACCGCCCGATGTCGTGGACGAGAGCGCCTAACGTGTGGAGTACTGAAACAGGAGATTAGTTAGTTTGGCCAATATGCTTCCTTGGAGTTCAAAGATCAGCATAGTCGATACATTCCTCAAGTGAACCACATTACAGGTGATCGCCAGCCCTTTTGTATCAGAGCGAGGATTTCCCACCTGTCTACTAATTTGATACGAGGGCGATGGTGGTTTCTAGTATTCGTTTACTGTAAGCTGGGCTTCCGAATGGAAAAAAGCCGGACTAGTTCTCAGCCTGAGAGACCCTGCTGGGTGGATGAACGCCTCGATGTATATCGCAGCCGGACACCCAGAAAAACCACCCAGCCATGATGAGGCGTCGTTAGATATTTGGGAGAGTAAGCTCATCGGTAAACCAAAATCTTGGCTATCCATAAGGAGATCCAGTGAAAGTCGGAATTGGATGTCAATTCAATCCTTTCATCCTCTCAAACAAGTTTAATACCAATTTACCAGCCTGTAGGCATGGAAGATTGATGAGTCGGGATCTGAGGTCGAACCAAAGACCATGTGCTTACTGCAGGCACCGCTGACCGCTGCGCTATGAGCAACCCAATACGGCGTCATTGAAACGTAATTAACTCTTTCAGTTCTTAATGGTACGTGCAAACGAGGTAGTAAAAGAGGAAAACACTTCATCAAAATCACACCTGAGATTTTTTATACAACATTCGTCACCGATTGTACGAATTCATTGCACCTCAAGATGTGCTCCAATCGAACTCTCCATTCGCGAGCTGTTCACTTTACCAACCATAGTTCTGAAGGCGTTGGTTTTAATGTATTTCTTTAAAATACGTCGTTCCGTATCGAGTCAGTTCGTCAGTCCGAATTCAGTCGATTTTGTGGATCCGAATCCAATTAATTTTGTCTGTTTGGATTCAGCTGATTGACTTTGATGTTCCGAATTCAATTTATTTTGAGATATTTGCAAAACTCCGGACCATAGGTGTCTGCAGTGGGGATCGAACGCTCTGTTACCCTATCTGAGGCCTAACGCATTCACCACCACACCATGCGGGTCCTTCGTTTCGCTTTCAGAGTCTCTCGTCTCGTTTCAATCGAGTTTGTCGATCCGAATTCACTTGGTATTTGATCGTTTATTCGACGTTTTGATGTTAATGTGCTATATTTCAGGTTTCACTTTCGGGCAACACAAGAGTTGATTTTTTCAATGAGTGTCACTTCCAAGAACTCTTTGCTGAAACTGTCCACTGTAGTTGACCGGGAGGTGGGCTGTAGTTCTTCATCCTTCTGTAGTGCTCTGTTTTAGTTCTTATGTGTGTTCTTAATGTTGTATACTTTTCAGTACTGTCTTAGAAGTAATGGAAAATGGTGCACTGATAATTCTTCATGTTCGACGTCTCTTGAACGTATCGCCGATGAAATTAATACTTTGAAGGTTCGCTGTTTGGAGGATATTTCATTGTTCTTACTGTAACTTTTATCCACAAAGCTAATCTTTATTCGTTTATTTGTTTAGCTGTTTAGAAAACATATCTGTATATTGTAGAAACTGGCGTAGTACGTTACGTACTTACTTTGATCCCTGGATGGCCCATTATCACTAGTTGTACTGGCCACAGCATAATTTCCATTTTTCTGGAGATTTATTGGTTTAGCCATTGTGTTCCCTGGATTCAAGAGGTCGGCCTAGCCAAAGTCTGCTCCAGGAAGTCAGCACCACAGGTAATCGCCGCTCTGGTGGATCAGAGGGAGATTTGCCACCATGCGACTGGTCTGATACCGGGACGGTGGTGGATCCTGGTATTGGTTGATTCTCATCTGATGATGGAAACGCCGGACTCCTTTTCAGTTTGAGAGACCGCGCTGGGGGATCAATCAGCCCTTTGCACATCGCAGCCAGACACCCAGGAACACCTCCCAACCACGATGAAGCAGTAGGACCGTTGGGAGGAACGTAGTGCATTGTCCGTAGAAGTTAAATGAAGACGTAATAGAGTTGTTTGCTCCCATGATCGACTTTCTATTCACCTAGGCATTGGAATATGAATGCGTCGTTTTCTTGTTCAGCAATCGCGAGGTTGTTGAACAGCATACATTTACTTCCATAGAAAAACACAATACAATACAATAGTAGCTAACGTTTCAGCAGTATCGCCTTCTTCAGAGCCTGGAAGGGTACACTGATATAGAATCTACTAGGCCAAACGCTTCATAACACTCACAAAAGACGAAAAAACTATGGTAATTACATGATCAACAGCTTCTCGAAAAACACCGCTTTTTACGTGATTTCCAATGAAGATTAGAACAGCTGATTGTAGTCGCATATGGTTGATGACTGCACCTACCCACACCAACGATCGATACGAAGGTACGGGGAGAGATCATAGGTGATCTCGGGCATTTCTCCATGCTGTTCATTTTAGGTTTTAGTATTTATCCAAAAGCCTCAAGAAGCTTGCGCGGTGGTGTTTTGGCATCCCGTGCAAGGATAGTGGCTTTTATATCAAAATCGTCTCCACAATGCTTTTGTATCCTATGCGTGCCTAGCGGGGTACTTTGTCTTAGTTTTCGTTTGCCATCTAAGTGTTCTTTTATACTCATACACAATGGTCTGCCCGTTTCGCCAATATATTCGTCTCCACAATTATTACAAGAGATCAGATATATCGTACCTCAGCTCATGCAGTCAACGTCGCCGCCATAAGAGCAGATTACGCAATTTTGTGTTTCACATACAGGCAATTACGAACTACGACGTGGAGTAGCCGGTGGTATTTCTACTATCGCTACCGATTTCTGTAGACCTGCCCTTCTTAAGCATCGTTTTATAGCTACGCTTACTCCATCGCTAATAAAAGGCAGCATAAACGGGATTTTTTTTTTGGCCAAGTGTGTCCGTCGCTTTCCTTCTAAACTTATCTCATGGGGTTACTGTTTCGTAGCCACTGGAGATGTCTATTTGCCGAGCCAAGTCGCGCGATTCTTCCTTCAGTTCCCTGTAGTGCACACAGAGGTGGCTGTTCGAAACGTGTTTCTCACAAGCGCCCTCTTTGTGTGCGAAGAGTGGGAAGAAAGGAAATGAACGATGATGTTCTTGTTACTCGGCTTTCGGTGCCACTTTATCAAGTAACCTCTACTTGATAGGTTTATTTGCACGTCCAAAAACGGAAGCCAGTTTTCTCTCGGTTTCTCCCGGGTGAACTTTATGTACTCGGACTGCTCGTTCAATAATTCAAAGCATTTGTCCATCTCCTCCTGCGTAGAGAAGACGACAAAACAGTCATCTACATATCTGTGGTAGAGTAGTGGTCAGAGATCGAGAGCAGGAGCTTGTATCTTAGACATAAACACAATGGCAAGGCTTGGTGCCAGTCGCTGTCTCGTTGCCAACCCCCTTATTTGCGCGAAATATTTCCCAGACTATCTGAAAATCGAGCAGTTTAGGCACTCCTTTAAGAGAGCCATTAGCTGCTGGATGGACAAACCATGCCTATTTATTCTTCTTTCATGTTCAACAAGAAGTTCGAAGATGGCTTGCATTGCGGAGTCGTTCGACACGTTGGTGTACAGCGCGGTAATGTCGAAAGACTCCATAACGTACGCGTTATTAGGAGACGCGATATGTAGACGTTGTAAGAACATTTGGGTGTTCCTGAGATGAGTTGGAACGTGGTTAAGCAACTAGGTAAGTATTAGCCTTGAAAACCAGGTTATTCTCTCCGTTGGCCCGTCTACACAGCTGATCTAATCTAACCTTAAATGATGACGGAGTGGTTGACGCAGGATCATCAAGTGGTACCAACTTATGTGTTTTTATAAGTAGGTATAGGACGGGACATGTTAGTTTGTCGATTTTAAAGTGCGAAATAACCGGTGAGAGTTGTTTGTGTTTTGATTTCCTAGACTTGGATTGTTGTATGGTTTCTCTTTTAGGTTTTCTGCAATTCTTGTCACTTTGTACTCTTGCACCTGTATTTATTTTATTACTAGGGACGGATTGGTGCTGTTTGCGCTGCTGACCATGACGAGTTGCGGAAATGGCGACTTCACACTCAAGAGACACACCCACTTTCTGCTGCTCCTAAGCTACTAAGGTAACCGTGAATATTTAAATAGGTTGTACTCCATATTAGATATTTCCTTATCTTAGACAGAAGTGCTGGCAGAACGACATTAAGACAAGTATTTTTCAGAGAGCACTACAACTGTAAGAGAACAAGTCAGTCGTATTGTAAATTTTTGGAGATTCTAGTGCGATTTCCATTTCTAATTCGGAATCGCTTCTACTCACAACCATTCAGGTGTTTTTTGACGAGATTTTTCCTTGTTTTCTTCCATGGTTACGATAACTAGTTTGAGGGTTTTAGATCTTTTCATCTCTGCGAAGCTCCTGGTCACTTCATATCAGCTCTTGACCGTTTCATTTGCACGTTTCACTCCAGTATGGATTGGTTTTGGGAGGCCAATTCGTGTGTTACTCTTTCAGACTCGATGCTACCCACTAAATCGTTTTGGAGGTCTATGTTTGTTTTACAGTTTGAATCCGCATCACGAGACCACGAATACTTGCGATATGATACTCGAAGATGAAATAATACTAGATCAACCTTCACGATGGCATTTTGGAAAGGATGGTAGCGGTGATATCAGAAAGGTTTCGTTTCACCGTAAAAGTGCGTTCTGGTGACTTATAATCTATAAATCCTTACGGATTCCAGTGGGGTGATGAGTATCTTTCATCATTGGTTGGTTCTGGACGTTATTATTTGGTCACTGCTGATGGGAGTTTCTATACACAGGTAAAAGACATGTTAGGTAATAAATAGTCATGAGTGTTTCCATGAATTCAAGGACGTACCAGGCCAACAAGAGCAAAAAACTTTGCCTCTTCTGGAGACGGAATTCAAGATTGCTCTCGAGCTTCTCGCCAGTGGAGGATCGCTTGTTATTAAGGTATTAGCTCAGCGAGCTTGAATTGATTCCTCATTTAAGTTGAGTTGTTTTGAGGTTTATACGTTTTTTATGGCCGAAACACGTAGTCTTATAAGAAAAGTTGCCTCCTATTTTGATAACGTCTTTGTTTTCAAGCCTATGAGTAGCAAAGGCGGGAACAGTGAGGTGAGCTGAATCATTCCTTGATCTTTCCAGTGATTTTGCTGATTACGAAATTTAGCGCTATCTAGTTTGCATGGGGTATAAATGTCAGAAGCTTGTAGAATCAATGGAATTGGAGGCAGATTGTGTATGTTTCCTTGTTTATGTTCAGAATTTTTCAATTTTCAATTCCAACCAGTTAAAGTTGTGTTTTTGTTCTAGGTGATTACAAATTGTGAGGTTTATTTTTCTAAGCTACAAAGCTCGTTTATGGAAGCGAATCTCCAGACGTATAACACGGTTACAAAGGTTTCTTTTAATCCTAAAGAAAAGTTCTATGATTAGCTCAATATGTAACTGCCTATTCAAAGTTTAAATCCTGAATTTTCAGGCTGAGCTTGGTTTGTTCCGTGAGACCGTGCTTCGTGAATTTTATAAACGTACACTTGCAACCTACATAGCTAATCCTTTGAGGTCTTTTGTTTCGTGAAGTTCGACCGTCTGAAATTTAATCGATTTCGTTAAATTTAGGAAGTCCCATCTGAACTGCCTACCGATAAATCGGCCATGGATGCACATGTATGGAAGCAATTATGTTGAAAATCTGCGGAAAATTAGTGATGAACAATCTGCAATACAGCACCTCAGGAACTTTGTATGTTTTAAATTTCTTTGATGACGTTTTATTCTATACTTTTTGATGGAAATGGGTTGATTACATTATTGTTCTAAGTATTATAGCTCCAGTCAGATTGTATGAACGAGTTTGAAACAGTTGGTGATGTCGAAGTCGAGTTTGCTGAAAGCGAAGTGGAATTTACCGCGTGGTCCTTGGAAAAATTGATCATTGAAAAGGTTTTTCTTTCTGATTCATTCATTTAAAAACCAAGGTTTATTGTTAGGTGCTAGAGTATGTGGCTCTTATGGGTGCTGCAAATTCTAGCCTATTTTCGAGGTTTTTTGAGATTGGGATATATATTTTTGAAGTAAGAAGTGACCACCTATTTGATTTTCAATACCGATAATCATTTTATAGGCGCCAGTAAAGTCTCTTTCCACTTTAGTTCTGTGCGAGACTACCTAGCAGCTTCCTATTGTACATATGTTACATATGGGTTTTTTTTACTTATGTCCATTTTCTGCCGTCTGCTGGGTACAGTTATGCTAGCTTCCCTAGTGCTCTTGGAGTGGACATGGTGTCTGTTCGTTGGTTTAGCCCCGAGTTCGCTTTCTATACATTTTGCAGCTGTTTAGTGGTACTTTTTGTCTGTGATGTGAGGGATGCATCCTGCCACAACGGAGTACGGTTGCGAAGGTATAAGTAATTCGTGCGCAACCGGGTCAGAATCCGTCCTCCGAATCCACCTATCTTAAAACACCTATGTGGTCGGTGTTATTCCTCGTTTAAGCCTCTACCCTGTGGCAGTGAACCGTGTACATTTAATACTTTCCGGACTCTGTTACTCTGTTTAGAGAAGTTTACATTTCTAAAAAAAACATGGATAGACGTTTAGATAATTGTGCTTGGATCGACTCATGCTGGTCAAATTGTGCACTCTTTGTTCACTCCACCACTCCTTACTCGGTCCCTGCTTATGTGGAAACCTGAGGTGTGGATGTGTTTTGGCTTCGTGTGATTAATGTTCACCATATTTATTGTAATTACAACAGAATTTCTGTTACTGGGGTCAAATAAATTGAGGGAGTAGTGCGACGATTTGTAGAAGAAAAGTCTACATGACAAGTCCACAACATTTTTCGTTGATTACTGCGTTTTGGGCGTGTGTAGCGCAGTGGTTAGAGGTACCTTGCAGTACACATAGAGTCGTTCACCGCGGCCAAGGCTCACTAAGCCTTCTATTTCTCCGGTGTCGGCAAATTGGTACTAGACTTGTCTGGGAGGATATCAGCACATCAGCACTGACGCGTAACATCGGTCGGCTACCGCCAGTCTTTGTAAGCGGTAAGATATATGTTCAGTAACCTCCAACGATGATTGAAGAAGTCGAATACATGGCGCATCCCTCAGGGATGTATTCGTTATCCTTTGTACTACGTTTTCTAATACATAATGGTTTTTTATAGTTTTTCGAATTGCGGTATGCTTTAAACAATGGACCAGAGCTCTCGCCTTTTGTTACAGGCTTTGGTTGACTTATGTGGCTGCTCGAATAGGAGCGAGAGTTACGCACGTTCATTGAAGTTTTTGGGAAATGTCACTGTTGATTTATGCAAATTACGAAATCAGAACGATTGGTTTTGGCTGTTAAGCTGTGTACTCGATGGAGTCTTGGTAAATTCTTTACATTCATGTTCTACCATGGTGACACACCCAACTTGGGCAGTTCTTACTTCGCTGTACTGTAACAAGTTTAGTTAGCTGTATGCTACCAAGTCATTTTATATTTACGTGCTATGTGTCAGTAAATCTAGTTACTTGGACACTTGTATACTTGGGTGGTCCGTCCTCACCGGCTATGCAGGCCCCAGCACAACTTCCGCTTTTCGGAGTTTTGCTGCTTTAGCCATTGTGGTTCCCTGGAGTCCCGAGGTCAGCCTGACCAGAATCTACTCCAAGTCGTCAGCACCATAGGCAGTGACCCCTTGTGGATCAGAGCTAGATTTGCCACAAAGCGATTTTGATACCAGGATGGTGGTGGATCCTGGTATTGGTTTAGTCTTAGCCAGGCTTCCTGACGGAAGCGCTGGACTCCTCAGCTTGGAAGACCTTGCCAGAGAGATGAATCCCCGTGTACCTCGCACACCGACACCCAGGAATACTTCCCAGCCATGGCGGGGTGGTAAACCGTTGACAAATTTACTTATATTTGAAAATTTGGGAGTTAGACAAATACTTATTCAAATTGTTGTCAATTGTGAAGCATTTTGAAGAAGACCGCTCCGACTCACATTTCCATATTGACAGAATCGATAAATGGCGTGAGAAAAAGGAGTTTTGCCTTGAAATATTTTTATTCAAACTTCTTCTCTACTCAGAAATTTTTCTAGCCTGTTGCTTGTTCGTTTAGAAGGGATGTATTTCGCAATTAACATTGGTTTGGTCTGCTCAGTCAACACCATTTGTGCTGTCACGATTCTCTGCTTCTGTTCTCGCGGTTCTATGTATGATGTTCTTCAAATTTTCGTTGAAAGGTGGCTATACGTTCGCTACGTTTACCTTGCCGGTATGTTATAAACCGTGTATTGTTTAGGTGCATGTGAATTACTTTATGTCCTGGCGTCATTAAGGTATACGACTTAATTAATTCAGTCATGGTTCGGTTCAGTACGAAATCATGAGCTGGTGCATGATCGCTCTTTATTTAGACCAACGTTTTCTGGCTTGCCGGTCAAACTAAGTTATAAAGCAATCCACCTTTTAGTCGACCACGCAGTGTCGTACTCGCCATTACTGTGAATGTCTGTAGCTCAAAGACAAATATTGATATGGGTTACTATGTTTTTTCATCGTAGTTGTTTATGGGTTCTTCTATTTTCAAAAGAGGGCACATGCGGCGCAGTGGTCGGAGGCGCCCTGCAGTACACGTAGGATCTATCTTCGCCCCCAAGGTTCACCAAGTCCCCCATTCCTCTGTGGTCGGCAAGTTGCTACTAGACTTGTCTGGGAGGATGACTGTACTGGTTCGATACATTAGTTGGTCACCGCGAGTAATTGTAAAGGCCAGATATATATTTAGTCACCTCCATCGATGCTTAATGGAGTCGAAGGCATGGCGCATCCCTCAGGGACTGCTCAACGCCGAGAACTTTGTCCTTTATCCTTTATCTATTTTCCATTCGCACAATTTCAACAGCGTGAAATTTGTTGTATCCTGTCAGGAATTTGTGAAACTCTCAGTTATTGTTTTCAGAATTACCCCGAAGACTTGCCACTTGGATTCGAACTGTATCTTATGTGCCTTTACCGTGTTTCAACAGAAACCGGTAAACTTTTGTTGTACATTATTGTTACAATTTTCTGAGCTTTGGAGGTTGTTGATTATCCTTTTTTTTTGTTTTTGCGATTTTTTGGTTGCGGCAGAACCATATAATTCCTTGTAGGGGTCAAAGTTGAGCAGGACAACGCTTTGAAGAGTATTATTCTAACCATTTTTAAATTGGAGTGGAAACAACGAGTTTTTTAATATACTTAGTAGCGTTTTCCACTCCTTTTCCTCAATTGACTGTAAATTTGAAGTCATCTTTTATTAGTTCTTGTATTTTATATATGTATTTAATATTGGTAACCACGCGTTTAGCGCAGTGGTCGGAGACACCCTGCAATACACATGGGGTCGATCCCCGCGCTCCAATCTCGCAAAGCCTTCCATCGCTCCGGTGTTCGGCAAATAAGATAAAAAGAAAGGCTCGATACATCGGTAGGCCATCGCTAGCCATCATAAAGGTCAGATATGTATTCAATCCCCTCCAACAGTGTTTAATAATGTCGAATGCATGCCGCAACCTTCAGGGATTGATCAACGCCGAGAGCTTTATCCTTCATCCTCTTACTTTATATTGGCTATATTTGTGCGCCAAACTCCAGGTCGGTAATAATTCGATGTATCACCTGTCACCTGTTCCACCTGTAATCCTGTTGATCGTCGAGTGACTCGAGCGGGCGCCAGTAAATCTTCCATTTTCCCCTGTCGCGCGAAAGAGTAGCTCAGTGGGTTCTGCTCGCTCTAGGGACTCGTCGAGCATCATGCCTTTCTTCAAGGCTCTTTGCGAAGAACTCTGACCATCGGGTCGGTGGTCATCCTGCAGCGCATTTGACATCCCGAGGAATCCAGTCGCTAACGGCTCTTGTCTGTCGGTTGTCATTCATATGCATTACGTGTCCGGCCCACCTTATCTTCGGTTGTTTATCGTACAGAACAGTATCTTTGATTTTTCATCGTTGATGCAGTTCGGAGCATCAGATCCCTTCCTCTACTTGTGAGACACGGGGTACTCCTATCATCGTCCGTTCGACTGCAGGTTCAATAACGCTGAGGTCATTGTTCATCCTGTTTACGTAGCGACAGAGGCGG